ACACAGGGCAAACTGAGACACCTGAGACACACAGGGCACACTGAGACACCTGAGAGACAAGACACAGGGCAAACTGGGACACCTGAGAGACACAGGGCACACTGAGACACCTGAGAGACAAGACACAGGGCAAACTGGGACACCTGAGAGACACAGGGCACACTGAGACACCTGAGAGACACAGGGCACACTGAGACACAAGACACAGGGCACACTGAGACACCTGAGAGACAAGACACAGGGCAAAGTAGGTGTGTGTGTTACCTGAACGTAGTAGGTAGGTGTGTGTGTGTGTGTGTGTGTGTGTGTGTGTGTGTGTGTTACCTGAGCATAGTACGTGTGTGTGTGTGTGTTACCTGAGCGTAGTACGTGTGTGTGTGTGTGTGTGTGTGTGTGTGTGTGTGTGTGTGTGTGTGTGTGTGTGTGTGTGTGTGTGTGTGTGTGTGTTACCTGAGCATAGTACGTGTGTGTGTGTGTGTGTGTGTGTTACCTGAGCGTAGTACGTGTGTGTGTGTGTGTGTGTGTGTGTGTGTGTGTGTGTGTGTGTGTGTGTGTGTGTGTTACCTGAGCGTAGTAGGTGTGTTTGACAGACGGAGTGTCCTGACAGGGAATCATGCTCCTGCAGTGATGAGCCTGCAAGACAAACCCAGGGACCCAAATGTCTCTTTGTTTATGAGAGTGATTGTTAAATAAAGCAGAACAAAGAAGAGGAACTTTGTTTCTTCATGCCAACAGGAAGTGTTGAGACTTTAGAAATAACAGCCGTTTGATGGACAAAGAGTTTCTTACCACAGAGTGCAAGGCTTCAAACACCAGAAGAAGAGATGCACCTTAACGAGGTATTCAATTAATTAATTAATCATCATATATTATATTCACCTGACACTGGCTGAACAGGTAGGGTTTTTCCTTCCCGGCCGTCTGCTCAGGTGAGAGCCACTGAAGCGCGGTTGCCGTCGGCGACGTCTCATAGGTCACCTCCACGATCACATGCTGCCCTCTGATTGTCCGACACAAACACCTTAGACTCCTTTCAAAGTAAAACAAAGCTAACAGGAAGTGGACTGACTCACCTGGAGAGGTCGAAGGGCAAGGTGATCTCCAGGGGGGCTCCTTTAAAGGTGTGTTTAGGGCCCGTTGTAAAGCGCGCCGCCTGCCCGTTGGCTTTCACCGAGAACACCTGCAGGTCCCTGCAGTCCAGAGTCTGTACACAATAAACATAAATAATAAACAATAAGAAGAATAAACAATATTAATAAGTAATTATTATTATTATTGTTTATTATACAAATATAAACAAGTCTTTTTTTAAAGAAAGGATAATAATAAATACTAAAAAATAAAACAGGTTTTGATTAAGGCTCTGAGTCAGTCCCTGAACGCCTCACCTGCTGACAGTCAGCAGACAAAGTCCAACACAACCTCACCTCTCTGAACACGTCTCACTAAACTACACACACCTGATCTGTCCACACACACACACACACACACACACACACACACACACACACACACACACACACACACACACACACACACACCCCTGAGTTAGAGGAGAGGAGTCAATGTAAACATTTATAGAAAAAACACATACTTTTAAAAGACTTTAAATGGTCAAAACTTAAGAAATGGTGTTTCTCAGGGATGGTACAGTGAAGGTATGAATGTGGCTTTCTGTCAAACACCTTGATAGCTCTCGTGAACAGCTGTTCTCTGGGTTTCAGGTTTGTGGCACAAGCAAACGAGCAGTTTGTAAAACAGTATTCTAGGTGGGATAGAATCAAACAGTGGAGGTATGACTTTGCAGCACTGACAGTTAAGAAGGGTCTCATTTGTTTAACATGTTGCAAGTTGAATTTAACGGTATTGGATACTTTCTTGATATGTTTCTTAAAAGTCAAGTTCGAGTCCAGTCTGACTCCAAGATACTTGAAGTGGGGGACTAGTTCTATTTCTGCTCCGTTTAAAAACACATTGGATCCTTCGGTTTTGAACATCATGCAAACTGTTTCTTTACATTGAGCTGTGCCCAAAGCTTTAGAGACGGGATGAGATCACTTCAGGGGTCTTCCCCTGTGCAAAGATGACCGCATCATCGGCATACATTAGGCAAGTCATTTGGTCTCTGACAGGTGAGACAGGTGAGACAGGTGTCTCTCTGACAGGTGTGACAGGTGAGACAGGTGTCTCTCTGACAGGTGAGACAGGTGAGACAGGTGTCTCTCTGACAGGTGAGACAGGTGAGACAGGTGTCTCTCTGACAGCTCAGCAGTAATAAGGGTAAAGTCCAAACAGCCATAAATGAATGAAAGTGACCCAGAAACAAAGATGTAACACGAAGAGCATTAAATATATCAGATTAAATATGTTAAATATATTATATGTAATATTAAATATTAAGAGACCAGACTTCCTTATTTTAAATGTTAAATGATCAGTTCCTTTATTCTCCACCGAGGAGAGATTATTATGAAATAAAGAGACCTTAGTGTTTCATATTAATATATAGAATAATATAAAATAATATTTAATAATAATAGAAACAATAATAGAAACGTTAGTATAATTAAGAAGCATTTAATATGTTATATTAAATATAATGTGTAAAATATTTTATATTTTTCCTTTCAGTTCGGTAAGATCTGGCGCCCCTTTCAGGGCCCTCTCCTCACGGTAGGAAATGTCAGCTCTGACTGAATGCTCCGGTTAGCTTCAGTGCTAACTTCGGGTCCGGTACCGGAAACATACCAGCGCGTGCAGCCGGTCCTGCAGAGCCTCCACGGTGAGCGCGAGGACCCCTCTGATCACATGGCGGGAGAAATCCACGTGCAGCGCGAGGTTCAGGTGCCGGGTGAGAAAGTGGGAAACGGAGGAGAAGGAGCACGGGTCCGACATGCTGACTGGTGAGAGACTGGAGACACACTGAGAGACACAGGACACAAACACACACACACACACACTTCCGGCCGAGCGCTTTCACAATAAAGGAGGGGCTAGACCCACTCATGCTTTTATTAGACATAATTATTTAAATATATTATTTTTAAAAAATAGGAAGAATTTATTTTGAAAGGCTTTCTTTTGGTAGATTTTTTAAATAATTTTTAATTAGTTCATATTTATTTTAATTATCTGTGGAGATTTTTGTATTTTAAGAGATCATTATTCTAAACTAAATAATTACTAAAAACAGACTCAGCAGAAAATCACATACAGAATCTTTATTTTATAAGTTAAGCATCAACAACATAAACAGGAAGTAAACATCAAACTCATCACATGACCGTCCTCCACTTCCCGGAACAAGTCACTCACACACTCAGAGGAAACACAGCACAGGGCGTGGTGCATTCAAGGTTTTTATATTAATAAGAGGAAACACAGCACTGTACAGAGGGGTCTACAGGTGGTGGGGCATTCAGGGCCCCTGGTCAGCGGTGCGTTCTGGTTAGCGGAAGTCCTCGGCACAGAACATGCCCTTGGCGCGCCTCAGGATGGAGTCTTTGCTGGCGTCGTACGGATGTTCTTTTGAAGGAATCTCCAACACGGCAGGGATGGACTCAAGGTGGCCGTCGATGGCGTGGCGGATCATCTCGGCGATGAACTGGTTGATCAGAACGATGCCGATATCGCTCCTGGCCAGGAAGCTCCTGAGGGGGGGGGCACAGTGGGGGGTATAGTCAGTGTTAGTAGAGTTTAGAGAGGCCTCTCTCTGACACGCTGGGACATCGGTTACTATCCAGATCCAATCTTAAATATCTCTCTCTGACGCACTTTAGTGCTAGCGAGGGTCTTTTGATTTAAGGGTTTATTTAAGGGGATTATTTAAGGGTTTACTCACTTGAAGGTCCCCTCTATCTCCGCGACTCTCTGGTTTACTTAAGGGTATAAACGGTCATCTTAAAAGGGCCCATGTCCTGCTTCTCTGGTTCTGACCCGTCCCCTTGTGTTCTGTAGCTTCTGCATGTGAACGCTCTGCAGAGTCTCAAACCCTCAAAGGACACCCTGTAGGGAGTAACACTCTAACACAGAGAAGACCTGTCCATAGCCGTGGGAACATGTTTCAAATGGGGGGTGCTGTGGGGATGACACCAGGGCTGGTTCTGACCAATGTGCTGCCCTATAAGGCAAGATTTGAGCTGGCA